TATTTTTTTATTTCCCCCCTCTTTTCTACCCTAAATTACATCAGAGGCTATATTGCAGAGCTGTCCAACTCACAGCCCAGAGGCCACATAGGGCCAGTGATGGGTGACCTTCCTATTTGTGGGCTTCCCACATGGCAGCTGGTGCTCTTCCTATCTCTCCTTCTCCTGCTGCCAGGGTCTCCAGGTTCCTCTCCCCACTCCAGCTTCCGCTTCCTGACCCTACCTCAGAAGTGGAGCAAAAACAGCCTGGGCAGCCATTGTGATGTAAAGTTAGGAGCCCAGGGAATCTGCAAAACCCATGTGGCGGGGGAGGGGGGGGTTCACCAACTGCTCAGAAGTTGAACATCCCCAATATACTGGAACAGGATTGGTACTTACAGGGAGTAGCCAGTAAACACATTGAATGACTACAAAAGAAAGAAAATTTGCTAGGCTGCAGTACAGGATTGTGAATATGCCAAGAGCTGTGGTTCTCAATGTTTTAGACTCAAGCCATCCCTCATTAGGCTCAAGGTACCCTTTAGAAAGGGCCTGCCAATAATAGAGCAAGTTTTCTGTTGTAAAGAATTCAAACACCACAACAGGTCAAAATAATTTTGATATTATGGCTTCCTGTTTGAAGTATTTGGATTTATCTTGGGAATCACACATAGGTATTTGCATACCTAATAGTGCCAATGTTGCATGGCACCCTAAAGAGCATCACAACCACCCAGAACCCTGGTAGGGAATCACTGCTGAGAGCCACCAACTGAACTGTGTCAAGTAAGTGACGCTGCTGCAACAGGGACAAATGTTCTGGGATTCTTAAACAATACACAGAAGTAGTTATTCTGCTCTGCAGAGACTTCAATTGAAGTGTTACATCCAGGTTTTGTCACTGCACTTTTAGAATGATAAACAAGTTCAAGAAAGTCCAGAGGAGAGTAATCACTGATAAGAACAGATTTAAAACATAAAACTTACGAAGAAAAAGTTGAAAGAATTCTGTTTGGTTAGTCAAGTAGAGAGAAGGCAAGGGAATTCCATAAAACTGCATCTAAGAAGGGCTATTGATCAATTGCTTTCCATGTGACAAGAGGTAGGTCAAGAGATAACTGTCTTAATTTGCAGCAAAGGAGATCGTGGAATTAGAAAAATCAGGAAGAAAAGCTAGATACAAGAATATTAAGAACTGGAACGAGAAGACTGTGCATCTCCAGTATTGAAGGTTTTAAAGAACAAAAATAGACAAGCATGTGGTCTTGGCAGATTTAATCTTGTCCTAGGACAGTCTTGGTCTAGATGACCTTTTGAGATCTCTTACAGTTCCAAATTTCTCCAAATAAGTGGAAATATGCCTTGAGATAGTATCTATAACTGCTCTTGTGCACTACTGCCATACTTAAAACCAAGATATGCAAGCTCATACTTGTTTTACAAGCTGCTGATAAACAGAAGGCAAAATAGTTCCTCCACTATTCACAGCTGTAGTTGTAGTTGTGCAACATCAGCAAAAAGTTACATTTTTTTCAGGTTACTTTTTCCGGCCATAGTTTTAGTCCTGGAAACCAAAACAATGTTAGTGGCCTTGATGCATGTCATCCTAGCCAAAGCCTGCATTACACAACCCTCTTTCTTTACTGGCTTCCCACATACCACAGAAATAAAAAAAACACAAATATTGCAAATTAACAGACTTTTAAAAAATTCACTGAATAGTGGTGTTGTTTTTGGTCATCAAAATGTGTCAATTCTTAGGTCAGGAAAAAAACCCTACCTATTCTTAGTCTGGCATAGACTGGGAACAACCTTCACAAACTGTATTTATGATGTTTGAGGTCAAACACAGGTTATATTTATTTTTCTGAGACCCACAGCTAGGAAGCCACAGTGTGTTTTCAGTGCAGTCCTGGCACAAATAAGATCACTTCAGCAAAAACAAACAAAAGGGAAAGTGACATTCTTTGCAGCCTTCTATTTTAATAACATCTTACTATAGCAGAACACAAAAGGGCATGTGCCTCTCATTTCTAGTCTAGCTGTAAACTCTATGCAGGTATTAGTGAACAATTACACTTTCAAGTAGTGAGAGGTAGTTAGCCATGTGTGTCTGAAGTCTAGTCAGCAGGGATCCTGGTTTTCTGTCTTAAAACAAAACAAAACAAAAAAATCCAATTTTTGGTTTTAAAAAGAGGAACCCCAAATCCACATTTTTCCATGACTTAAATGAAACACCGCTAACATCTAGATATCTAGTGGGAGGCCAGTAAAGAAAGACGGTTGTGTAACACAGGCTCTGGCTAGGAAAACATGCATCAAGGGCATCTAGATATCGTGGCGTTTCATTTAAGTCATGGAAAAGTGTGGATGGGGGGGGTTGTTTTGTTTTTTTAAACTGAAAATTGGGGATGTCAGAGAAAACCAGGATCCTGCTAATCATAAGGCAGGGTAGATATGCACTTTTATAGATTAAACTGAATAAGACTGCCCATCACAGGTTTTTGTGAACCCAAGTTCACTTTGTCAGATGCTATGAAAGTTCAATTGACATGAATGGCACCATCCTAATTAAGTAGTTTTGTACCATGAGAGATGCGAATACATCACCAACAAGTGCGGGGGTTTAAAAAAAAAGTTTTGAATACCTTTAAAAATTGAAGCTCTATAAGCACATCCTTAAAAAAATAAAACATTAAATAACTATGAAATAACTAATAACTTTTTGCCTGCAACAAAAGT